GGGGTGGTGGCTGTGCTGGACTTCTGGAGCGGGGCTGGCTTGATGGGGACGGGCTTGTGGCTGGACGGGGAGGGGGTGATCTGGATCTGGTTGGTGAGACTGGGCTGCACTTGTGTGGTCGGGAAACTGCTCGCCTGGATCTGGGGGACGACCTGGTACTGGATGCTGGCATTGGACTGGCTCCCCTTGTTGAGCTTGCCGGGGTTCTGGATCACTAACACCAGCTGCTCTCCGGGATAGGACATGCTCAGCTGGGACCCCTGAATCTGAAGTATGTTTCCTTTGGAAGACAAGATTCCAAAGCTATTCTTGCCAAGACTGAGTGGGAAAGGGGCAGGTTTGATAGGGACAAGTTTCCGAGGTGTGGGCTGGGGCGGAGTGGCCGGGGTCACAGCAGCTTCAACAGCTGAGGGGCCAATTTTGCTACATGTTGCCGCTAGCAGGGCTAGAGGAGAAGGCTGGGAGTCCTGGGTGGTGGGGGCAGCGGGCAGCAGGTAGTCACTGGGACTAACAACGGCAGTGGCAGCCATGCTGGTCTGTGGATAACCTGTTGGGCATCCAGCAACCTCCTGGGTAACACTCACCACCTGTTGGTTAAGTTATCCTTTCTTCTTGTATTTCCAATTACAATGAACGGCACCATCTTCCAACCCAAACCAGAAACCTGAGCATCTTGCTTATCACCAGACAGCACGTTCTGGCGATTCCACCTCTGAGAGGAAACTCTCTCCAGCCTACCTACCCAGTCGCTTTGTGCTCTTTTAAGAACTATCTATTTGGGATCAAATTAACAACAGCAATTCTGAAGATTAGCTAGAAACTTTAGGGTTTCGTGAATTTGGTTATGTGGTGAGGACAACTAAGAAAGAGAATGAGAATTGTTACACAGCTCAAACAATGTAATCAATGTCACAAAATGCTACATGTAAGAATTATTAAATTGGTATATTTTGCTGGGTAGTGTAAACAACAGCAAAATAAAGAAAGTGCTATCTTTAAAAAAATAGGAAAGCTGCTATTTAGAATTAAAGTATGTGAGAATTTACAAGGCCACCCTGCCAGTTAGTGTAGGCTAGGCTGTGTTGAAATAGAAACAATTCCAAAATCGTAGTGCTTATAAGAACGGAACCCTGGTGGATCAGTGGGTTACAGTTTAAAATCACTAGCTACTCCATGATAGAAAGATGAGGCTTTCTACTCCTGCAAAAAATTAAAGTCTCAGAAACTCACAAGGATAGTTTTGTTCTGTCCTATAGAGACAACTTGGAATTAACTCAATGGTAGTGAGTTTTGTTTTACTTAGTTTATTCTATATGTCCAATGCAGATTATCAGGATGCCTCTGCTTACAATGGTCACCCCAGGACTCCATGCTGACAAAGATTCTATCTTGATTCTTGCTTCCGTATGTGTCAAGGCAGGACAAAGTAGACAATGACAAGCCATAAACTGGTTTTATGAGTTTTGCCCAGATGGAATACATTGGTAGCAAATTCAGTGTCCAAAGTAAGTCATATGGATACAATTAACTTAAAATTACTAGGGGAAAATGTAATCATAGAATGTTCCTGGAAAGGGAGGGCATCATAAATTGTTTGTAAATAGCACCAATGACTACCACACAGGTTTTCTTCATAATACTCTGCATGCCAGATGTTATGTGAAATCTCTGGTGACACAGATGTGGGCAACTAGGTATATTTTAAAACACGTGTGTGCACTGAAGGGGCTTGCTGACTGGTCTGTCATCACATGTGTAAGTTAGATTCAGTTGGTAGCTGAGTAAAAGTGGTGAAAAGCCATGGAATTACTCCACAAAAACTGTTGTGGTTGCTGTCATCAAGTCAGTTGTGACTCATGGCAATTCCATGTCCGGTGCTGCGCCATCTTCACAACCAGTGCTGTGTTTGAGCCCACTGTTGCAGCCATGGTGTCCGTCCGCCTTGCTGAGGGCCTCCTCTTGTCATTGCTTCACTGCTTGATCAAGCATGTCCTTCTCCAGGGACTCGTCTCTCCTGGCAACACGTCCCAAGTACATGAAGTGAAGTCTCGCCACCGCTGAATTCTTCCAAGGCAGATGTGCTTGTTTTTTGTTTATTTTGTGGCAATTTGTGTACTTTTAATATTCTTCTCCAGCACCACAATTCAAATGAATCCATTCTTCTTTGGTCTTTCATATTCAATGGCCAACTTTCACATGCCTGTGAGGCAGTTGAAAATACCATGGCTTGGGTCAGGGTACCTTAGTCCCCACAGTAAAATCCTTGTTTCTCAACACTTTAAGGAGGTCTTCTGGGGCCAATTTACCCAATGCAATGTGCCATTTGCTCTCTTGACTGCTGATTACGTGAACATTGATTGTGCATTTAGCAAGATGAAGCCTTGACAGCTTCAATCTTTTCCCCATTTATCTTGATGTGACCTATTGGTCCAGTTGTGAAGATTTTTTTTTTTTTTACAGTAGTTGTGATCCATACCAAGGGCTGCAATCCTTGATCTTCAATAGCAAGTGCTTCAGGTCTTCCTCACTTTCAAAAAGAAGGTTGTTCCATCCGGATGCCACATTCTTCTTTATATAATCCAGCAAATCCTGATGATTTGCTCCGCACGCAGATCGAATAAGTATGCTGAGAGAATACAACCCTCATGGGAAAAAGACAAATAATAGAGGTTCCAAAGATATATTTTTACCTGCTTCTAAAAATACTGTCTTTTCTGACTGGTTAAAATGAAAAAAAAACTGGCAAATTGAAGTGTTGGTTATGATATGGAACAATTGTTAGGTTCAATCCAGAAGGCCCTGACCCACAGCTACCCTGTGCGCAACAGAAGGATACACCGCCGAGCCTTGTGCTTCACTAGAGTTATATCAGAACTCAGTGTTGCAGCTCTGGGTCAGTCAACCTCAGTGAAGTTCTTCCATTTTTTTCAAGGACCCTCCATGATATCCAGCATTAGGACCTTTTACAGGGACTGTTCTCTCCTGATAAAATACCCAATGTCAATGAGATGCAGTCTGACTGTCCTGTAGTTCTTCCGAGATAGACATATTTGTTCTTCTGGTAGCCCATGGTACCATCACTATTCACTAACACAATAATCCAAACACATTCATTCTACTGTCTTCCTTATACAGTTCCCAGCTTTTGCCATGACTTGGGGCAGGTGCTACTTAGTCCTTAACGCAATACATCCTTATTTGACTTCTTGACTGCTGCTTTCAAGAACAGTGATTGTGGATTCAAGTAAATGAAATCCTTGACAACTTAAACCCTTTCTCTGTTTATTATGATGTTGTCTATTTGTCCAGCTGTATTTTTGTTTTCTTTACATTGATTTGCAATCCATATTGAAAGCTGTATTTTTTTTATATTCATCATTAAGTGCTTCAACTTTCAGGGAGCTCGGTTATGATATCTTCATACCACATTTTAAAAATAAACTTTTATTGTATTTTCAATTAAGGTTTACACAGCTGATTAGGTTTTAATTTAACAATTTCTATACAGCCTATTCAATGACATTGGTTGCATTTATTTTTCAATCCAGAAAGTAATTTAAAGAGGACAATTTAAGAATGTGTTAAAAGGGAAAACCTGATACAATGTTAAATTTAAACTAACTGTATCTGCAATAATTCACTTTTTTATGTACTTTGTGCTCAGAGCTTTTCCCATCCCTGGTCAATGGTCTGAGGGTATTCAATGAAAGTTTATTTCCTGTGGGTCTCGGCAAATAGATTTGGGGTTTTCACTGTTATCCATAGCCTTCTGAAAACCAAGTGCTCAGACTTTAAGCTCTAATATATTCTGCTCCACTGATCATGGGTTTCGTGATTGACAATCCTTGGATCACCAGGCAGACGGGCTTCTCCCATGTGGGCTTTGCTGTTACCTCACATGGATGACTGCTTGTTTTGAGACAAGCTTTTAAGACCCTAGATGCTATTCCCTCTGATAGCTGGTTACCACTGATTTCATCACCACAGTTTACTATCGCATCCTTATCTTCAGTAATCTCCTCGTGGAGGGGAGTATCAAGCAGGGCCACATCATAAGAACTGATTGTAACTAGGTTAGCGTTTCCAGCAGCCTATGAGCTCAAGCTCCATCCTTACATCTAAGATACATATACCTGTTCCACTTTCGTGACAGCCTTATCAGTTTTTTGAGAGATACTATAAATGACCTCCAAAGGACCTTTAATAATTCTAATAATAGGATTGTTAAACTAGCCACTTGTATAGAAATTGAATACTGTTGAAATGGAGGGAATAAAATTTTCTGACTAAGATCTTCCTGGCATGGCCTGTATGGTATATATAAGAGAGCTTTTTAGACTGAATTATATGGGGTGTTCCACTATAAATCTTAAAAAGTTAAGTGACTGAATCGTGTTAAAGAAAACAATGAGGGTTAGACAGAAGATATAAAATTCAATAACACTCACACACCAGGGCAGAACTATGTCTGCAGAGCGAAAATGTCTTAGAAAGCTGAGAAAAGAAGAAAGTGTTAACATATATGGTAGGCTTAATTTACCTTTTACTGGGTGACCTCAAGCAAAAGAGGTTTGAACCATAATCCAATGACTTCCAAGTCCACAACCTTTGGGTAGCAATCTTTCTCTTCTTCTTTCTTGAGAATGTTACAGCTTTTAAGTTCAAAAGCGTATAGTAGTCTCTTTCCTCTGTAACAAGTGTGCGTAAGGTAAAGACCAGTTCACTTCCTGAGCACCTGGAAGTTCTAATACATGGCACAATATGAATGAACCTTAAATGTGTTATGCTGAGCAAAATTAGTGAATTGCAAAAGGCAAATACTCTCATCTCACTTACATAAAATGAACTAACATGTACCCCCAAACCCAAAACATCCTCACAACTATCCAGTCAATGCTGACTCGGAGTGACCCCCTGTGGGTTTCCAAAACTGAAATTGTTTATGGAAGTAGAAAGCTGTCTTTCTTCTGTGCTCAGCAGGTGGTTTTGAACTGCTGACCATGCAGATCCAGGCCAACGTGTAACCACTACACACCACCGGGCTCCTAAACAAATATAAAGAAACCACAAATTATTAGTGGTTACCAGAGGTGGAAAGGGAGAAAAAGTGGAAATTTTGCTTAGGGAGGCATCAATCTGACTAGATATAATATCTCAAACGTGGGTGAGACCCACTTTTTCCTGGTTTGAGGATCTATCAGAAAGATGGATCCATAAGCAATTATAACTGGGAACCAAATCCTTCCAATAAAGCAGCAGTTCTCAACCTGTGGGTCATGACCCCTTTGGGGGTTGAACGACCCTATCACAGGGGTTGCCCGATTCATAACAGTAGCAAAATGAGAGTAATGAAGTAGCAACAAAAATACTTTTATGGTTGGGGGGGTCACCACAACATGAGAAACTGTAGGAAAGGGCCCCGGCATAAGGAAGGTTGAGAATCACTACAATAAAGGAACTGTGAAATACTTTTTCATGTTAATTATGGTAAAATAATTTGGGAAAATATAGCAAAAATGGACACTCAATT